GCTTTTTCTTTTCCTTTGCTTTATATTTTGTATTTCAAATTTTCCTTTTCATTTCTAACTTTTGCATATGTATCTTTAAAATCTCAATAAAATATTAGAACGGCTTCCTTCTTCATTGGAGAACAGACTTGGAGGGAAATAAAAAAAAATTCTGTATCTTCCACACAGTGAACCCAATCAAGAATACTGTCACTGTCGTCCACCTTGCTCTGGTTTCAAAACCTAAGGAGGCTGGGTCTGGTGAGGAATGGATGGGAGGCCACCAAGAAATTCCAAGGACATAGGTTAAACAGGGAACTAAAAACAGGTCACAGATTTGTCTGTGAATTCATCAGCAGCTGAGCCCCAACATCTGCACTGTCTTTGGAGCGGGTGGAGGAGAAACATCTGTCAACAGCTTGCATTTTATAAGTTAGCCACAAGTGACTTAACAAGTAGGCTACAGCTCTCTTCCCATCAATTTATGCCCCTCTGGAGAAATCAAACAAAGTATGCTGATGTTTGGAATATTTGCACATTAGCTCTTTTCTTTCAAAAACCTTCAAACATTTGTTTTAATCTTCCTTGAAATTCTCGGCATGCTTCCTCGCCACACCAAATAAGGGACATTTTACAACAAGGATGAGTAAATGCACGGGATCAGATCCTCCCTTCCCAGGACAGAAGTCTTGGGTTGCTCGGATTCAAAATCCTTTCGAAGGGTGTGTTTTTACGTCATTTTTTCCATGGCCCGCACAAACGCACAAGCACCTCTAGGATCACAACCCAAACATCACAGTTAGTTTTTCCAACGTTTCTCCAATTTCTTCAAGCGTTGCTCCGGCCAAACCAGCAGTCTCAAAGTTTGTCCCATTTCCATTCGGAAAAGCAGAGGGGGAATTGTTGGGTAACAAAGGGGGGTGGGGGGGGGGAATTGCCTGCAGTTTGCAAGCCCTACAGCCCACCTGTCGGATTCAGGGGGTCACCCACCACGCCTGCCGCCTGGGAAAGCTTCACCATTTCCATGCGGATCAGCTCGATTTTCGTCTTGCTCTCCTGAAAATTTTCTTGAGCAGCTGCTAAGAGTTTCCGCTCCTGGTGAGGGAAGAGGAGGATAAAACATGAGGAACGTCAAGAGGGGCAGCGAGTCTTAAGTCAGGGTGGTTCCCGTACATGCAAAGCGTCACGTCGCGTGATAAATCTGACCACTTGAAGACTGGCTTTTAAGGGGGCCTGAATGCCTATGAATATTGCAAATTAGCAAACGGGGGAGTCAGAAACCCGTAGTTCTTGATGATGATGATCATGGCTGGTCGCACAGTCAGCCAGATGTTCAGACTGGATTTGGCATTTTTATCCACCTATCGGGTCCTTCCCAAGGACGACATCATCATCATCATCGTCATTTCCCTTTCCCTCACTCTTTTGTTTTTACTTTTTAGGTATTTTAACTTTTGCTAAATTTGCTTTGCATATCTATCTATCTATCTATCTATCTATCTATCTATCTATCTATCTATCTATCTATCTATCTATCTATC